CAGCTGGAAAAAATCCACGTTCAATACTTTCATCATTCTTGATCTCGATCTAAGATTCACATAGATCTAGCCGAGATCTAGATCTTAGAATCTATAATGCTCAGCAAGAAAAATCGACTTTCAATATTCAATAGGTTATCGAAATATCACAGATCTAGATTCTACTTTCATTTCGTGATTTTTCTTGATCTCGATTTATCTCGATACATTAAGTAGGCCAACGGTAGGCTTGACTACTCTTTGCGCTTTCGACGACACCCTCAGTGTCACTCACCACCCTCCCTCTGGTAGTGCTTTCTGACCTCCTTTATCTCTTTCTCTCTCTCTGTTTCTCTCGCTCTCTCTCTCTCTCTCTCTCTCTCTCTCTTTTTTTTTTCTCTCTCCCTCCCCCCTCTCTCTTTCTCTCCAAGGTAGGGTAACAAACGAAAAAGTCACCACTTTGTAACATGTATTACTACTTGATTCTTCTTCTCCTTATTTTTCTTCTTGTTCTCCCCCTCCTCCTCCTCTAATTCCTCCTGTTCCTCCTCCTCCTTCTCCTCATCCTCCTCCCCCTCCTTCTTCTTACTTCCTCTTCTTCTCCTTCTTCTTTTCCCTCTCCTCCTCCTCCTCCTCCTCCTCATTTTTCTTCTTCTTCTTCTTCTTCTTCTTCTTCTTCTTCTTCTTCTTCTTCTTCTTCTATACCTCCTCTTCCTCCTCCTCCTCCTCCTCATCCTCCTTCTCCTAAAGGCGTGAGACCGAAACCGGGAATTCCCGTAAGCCTACTTTATGTACAACTGAACCACAGAATTCTACACTTAGTGTAGAATTATGTGAACTGAACACAAAATACACTTTGGCGCAGTCGGCACTCCGCAGTGAATATACAATGTGGAAGCAAATGATGTCCATCGCTACAAAAGGACTGAATCTAACTTAAACTGGGCTTTCTTCTTACACCTTTGATCTTAATGAAAATACAATGGTGCAACACTACGTCTCAGTTTATGGGTACTGGCAAAGTTTCACATTTTTTCATTGGGTAGTTTTTGAGAATATACTGTTCACAAAATTTGGCCTTAGCTCCATTAGTAGTAAGATGTATAATAAATAGTGAAAGCATTTAAAGGACTCCCTATAGCTACTGCTCACAAGTCTAGGGTTGTTAATTCTTGTTATTACTAAGTAGGCATGGGAAATGAGACAACTGAAGTTTTTTTTCTTCTCCGAATTACCCCATTGGAAGCAGGCGCGGTTCGTCCATAGAGCACAGTCGTGCAGTGCCGCCCAAAATGTTTTAATGTTCTATGACGTAAAGCATCCACAATAATAAAATAAAAGACTACAGAAACAAACACTAGCCAAATATTATATTAAAACAAGGCCCTAGCTGGCGCCGTAACTGTCATTTCTATTCTATAGCGCCGTAAAACATCTACTATGCCATGCCTAAATTCATGCGCTGTATCTAAACATAACAGGACAGTCAACAGTGGAAACCTGACCTATAAATCGCTCTTTGGGATTACCCAAGCGATGATGACACTTGTAGAGAGTTTGGCGGTACATTAATATTAATAAGACGGCACATCTCAAATGTGCTCCTGCCGAATAGCACCGAAACATAGCCCACAGTATGCAATCTAAAAATAAACGCCATAGACTGTGCACTATTCCATGTCAAAATTATGTGGGCCCCGGAGCAATTCAGCGGAGTGCTCAAGTGAATTGTGATTGGTTCATTGTCTTGTCGCTATTTTAAGTGACTCTGTGACCGTGAACCTGAGGGAGGTGAACGTGACATACTTAAGTCGCCGTCCTATGAGTTGAGCTTTTGAACGGTTTTGTAGTGGAGTGGTAAAAGGTAGGCCTATTACTTGAGTGTTCAGTTGTAATGCAGGATGAATTAAATTGACGTTTAGCTAACAAACAGATTTAGTTCTAGAAGTCAAAGACACAAGTAAAAAGAATGAAAATAAAAGCACTAGGTCTTCCTTCACCAACCCAAAGATCCTAAAATTATACACCGTAAAATTTACTCTGCCCTTGATTATCTTCAGCCTAAGATAGCTAATTGTGCACGCCCACTTTTTAGACCCACGAACCGCCCCTGATTGGAAGTAAAGGTACAGCATGGAATAGTGTGTGTGTGTGTGTGTGTGTGTGCGTGTGTGCGTGCGCGTATGTGTGTATGTGAGTGTTTTTGTGTGTGCGTGCGCGCGTATGTGTGCGTGAGTGTATGTGTGTATGCGGGTGTGCATGACGTAGGGCCTACAAACTTTGGACCCAAGATTTTAACCGTTTCAGCAGAGGTAGGCCTGGGTTTTTTTAAAGAATTTTTTTCCCCGGCAATGGTAAGTTGCCGTGTTATGTTAGCTTGTTTTCGTCGTAACTATTACAATACTTTATCTTCCTTGAAAGTAAGGGCAAATCTTAAAAGGCCTATCATGTATATAGAGTCTGCCCCTTTTCGTTCCATCTAACAACATAATACATTAATTAGTTTAAAAAGTGTGTATCTTAGAGCATTACTGGAGGTTTTGTAGCCGTCGCCATATGACTCTTCCAGTAATTTTGACACAAGGGTGATAAGGTGTCAATTCGGTATGTTATATAAATACATGGGATATATATATAGGCCTATTTAATATTTATAAAAACTGGAGAAACTGGATTAAAGGAAGTCAGAACACTTCAAAAGCCAGAATGAGGACATGGAATCTTGAACTTAATATACATGTAAATATGACTTTAACCACAAGCATAGACATGTCCATTCATCAGATGAATGTGAACACAAGCACACGTTTTAAGGGAAGAGGAAAAGCAAGATATATATGCCACTAAAGGGTTTAATTGCCTTTGAAAAGACCATATAAAACAACATATCACAGCAACAATATGTATACAATTCAAAAACACAAATGATGTACTGAATCAATGGGGTTTTTTTTCTTAGAGTATCCAAGTAGCAGCAGTATAATTGGATCCACGCCAATACAAGAATGGATGAAAAACACTTCGGTAATAAATTGTAATCAAATACTGAGTACAGGTACTAGACTTGAAGAAAAATAAATTAATTCAATAATGTAGGTGTCTTTATGCCCCCATCAACACAATTTCCATCATTAAGGAGGTGGGCTTATGACTTTGCCAGTTTGGAATATCTCCAGTTGAAAAGGATTACATATCCTAGCTGAAAGACAGATATACTCGATTAACATTTCTCTCCACTCGGGAATCGCACTAAGGTCTCCTGTACGTGACAAACACTACACCACACAGTGCAGACGCAGGAAGATTTGGAGAGGAGAAAGGAGTTTTTTATTCAGGGGGAGGCGCCTGTCACTGAGG